AAGATTCAACAGGAAACTGTGAACACAATAAAAGCAGTTCCATTTGGAACTGATTTGCAACAAAGTCAGTGGCAAGAAACTTGAAGAACATCTGAAGAATGTCCTTCTAGTGGCTGAGTGACAGCCACCAGAGATGTTACTAGGAAGCATAGCTGAGCCTGCAAGGACAGGCTATAGATGCTAAAATCAATACATTACGTTGTAATGGTTCTTGCTTGTGACTACAGTTTCCCTTTAAATGAGTATTGTTTCATGTTGAATCTCTTATTTATATAGTGGTCTATACATCTAAATAACCACTTAGGTAGTTTCGGTGCAAACACTAGAAGACTTATTCACAGGCTGAAGTGAGAAATAGAAAAATTATCAGATTCAACTTTTTTCTAAAATGGACTTTTCTGACCTAACATTTGCAAATCAGTTATCAACTCCTTTAAACAGATGTCAACTACTCAGACTTGTCATCCTTTGCTTATTATGTGTACACAACACGTAAACAATAAAAATTTATAAAAAATATATTTTATTGTACACTTTTGTTCCAAATGCAACTAGAACAGTGTATAAACCATCATTCTCTCACAACAAAAGTACTTTTAAATGTTATGCATCAACAGGACTCTAACAGTAAACAATAAGTTCCATTTATAAGAAAGGGCACAGTTGAAGGTTACCAAATGCCATTCCCATTTAAATCAAATTCTCCTTTTCATATTTTAAATTTGAATATTTATGGAAGTCATGTATCATCATTCTTTAAACCTTCATTCTTTCCTGTATGTCAAGGGCTATAGTTTACAATTCAAAAAGTCTTTTGAGTATGGTAATGAAAGGTTCCCTAAAAAAAAGTCAACAAAGAACAATGAACATTTGTACAGCATAACGTTTAAGAAGAGGTGAAAATTAATCACTTTTCTGATTAGAAAATGCATGCAGAAAGTTTCCATAAAAACACACACATTAACAAAACAGATTATTCAATATTTGTCTTGTTTAACAAGACCTCACAGACCTTTTTTCAAAGTTTTTAGTTAATAGAAAAAAGCAAGATTGGAGTTACTTTCAATGAAATTTGCATAACAAATACTAAGCAATGTTTGAATATGATACAAATGCCTTTGATTGTATAATTGTGACCTGAAATCATACATTGCTATAGCTCTGACCCAGCATGTAGCATAGTCTCTAGGAATGCACTTAAGTATCATTCTCAGAAACAAAATCAGTTTTATAATTAACCTCCTACTGCATTGTTAAATATGAATCACTTACAGAATTGTTTACTTAGGTTGCACTAACAACCGTAGAATGAGGAAATTTGACAAATGTGACAATGAAAAAGATGAAAAGTTACTCATATAGAAAGACTTCTAAAAGCTTAGATTTTTATTTATTTAAAGATTTTTATATATTGATATAGATATAGCATATTGTAGAATACACATGGAAATGTTTTTAAGGTTGGGTAAAAATACATTGTTTACACACTACCATAAAACTATATACAGTTTTCTTTCCTGTTTTGTTGACTATATATATTATAAAGTTTTTATGTATATATTGCCAGTTATTAAATTGTGCCGTAATAGTCATTTAGGTACTAGTATAAAAATCGAATTGGATAAGGGGTTGGTGGGATTACAATAAAAACAATCAGCTAGAATGAGAGGCATATGATTTTTGGAGCATTTTTCTAGAATGAGTATGGCAGTCTACTGATGCATCTCTTCTGAACAATTGCATCAGCTTAACCCCTTAGTGACCAGACAGTTTTTCAATTTTCTTACCACTAAGGACCAGGGCTCTTTTTACATTTCTGCGGTGTTTGTGTTTAGTTGTAATTTTCCTCTTACTAATGTACTGTACCCACACATATTATATACCATTTTTTCACCATTAAATAGTCTTTCTAAATATACCATTATTTTCATCATATCATATAATTTACTATAAAAAACATAATAAAATATGAATTAAAAAAAACACTTTTTCTAACTTTTACCCCCAAAAATGTATTATGCATGTACAACCACCAAAAACACCCACACTAAATATTTTCTAAATGTTGTCCTGAGTTTAGAAATTCCCAATGTTAACATGTTCTTAGCTTTTTTTTGGAAAGTTATAGGGATATAAGTACAAGTAGCACTTTGCTATTTCCAAACCATTTTTTTTTCAAAATTAACGCATGTTACATTGTAACAATGATATCTGTCAGAAATCCCTGAATAACCATTCACATGTATATATTTTTAAAAGAAGACAACCTAAGGTATTAAACTTGGAGTAAAAATTTGGGTATTTTGACTCTTTTCATGCAACCATTTTAACACCAATCTATGCCAAGTAGAAAATAATAATAATAATAATAATAATAATAATAATAACTAGAAAAGCTAAAATTTCTGGGGAAATTGTGTGAAGTGTTCTTGCCTCCACCAGTAGTCTACAACTGGAGTGGGCGGAGTAACTGTTATCATTTATATAGCACATTTAATTGCAACGTTGTTGCACAGTTACATTAAACCATACATTTATAAAAACATTAGCAGGTGTTCAAAAGGCCCTGTCTATTTTAAAAACTATAAATCCTACAGTGAAGAGCTTTATATTGTGGGAATCACAAGGCACAGACCTACATTTTGATGCATAGTATGTCTCTGAAGTATTAAAAATGAAGGCACAGTCGCAGTTTAGAAATTGCACTTCAAATTTGAGTTTTGTAGAGTGAAGTTTCAATGAATGTCAATGGATGGTGTTAGTTGCAAACAAATGATTATATTGTGAAAACTATCAGGACTATGGCTTAGCCGTTGACATGTTTAGTGGCAGCAGGGATAGCTGATTTTTCAGCATTTGCCAGCTCCCACTCTAGCTTTGCCATTCATTCCTATGGGACAAATTTCGCCACAAGAACGACGATATTCCGTGAACCATTCGGCGAAACGTTCCACAAAGTAATAGCAATCCGATCGGGAACAATCTGCACGTTTTGGTAAATTTTTGTCTATGTAGTGTAAAAACTGTGGGAGGAGATAGGGTGGCAAATTTGGCTATAATAAGAATAATAATATATATGTGAGATAACAATAAGTGGTCTTGCTATGCAAGAACACTTAATAATTTGTGATTACATGTACAGAGAATTTTAGGGTTACTGCCAAAGAACACCCCAATATGTGTTCAACTACATCTACTGAGTACAGTGATACCACCCATGTATAGGTGTGTCTGGTTCTCTGGGTGCTAAAAGACCTTATTTGGAGGGTTCGCATTCCAGTTTTCCAATTTGGAATTTTCTCACTGGTCATCATGCACCCATGTCCTATTTGGGACATTTTTGAAGTCGGCCAATGTAACATCTCCCGAGTACAACAGTGTCCCCAAAGAACAGGATTTATGGGTTTTTGCAAACTTACAGGGGTCAAATTTAGTACTTTCCACTTTTCCATGTTTGCACATTGACATTTGCCAGATTGGTTTGCTGGGCCTATGTTGCCTTTGAGACTGTATAGCAGCCCAGGAATGAAAATTAACCTCATCATTGCATACCATTTATAAAGTAGACAACCCACGGTATTCAAAATGGCCGGACTGGTTTGCTGGGTCTGTGTAGCCTTTTGAGTCCATATGGTAGCCCAGTAATGTGAAATAACACCATTATGGCATACCATTTTCAAATTTAGATAACCCATGGGGTATTTCCAGTCTTTTGTAGTAGTCACTTATTCACAAACGCTGGCCAAAGTTAACGTTTTTATTTATTTTCTATAATTTTTTTATATATATATATACAGTTGCAAGAAAAAGTATGTGAACCCTTTGAAATGATATGGATTTCTGCACAAATTGGTCATAAAATGTGATCTGATCATCATCTATAGTCACAACAATAGACAATCACAGTCTGCTTAAACTAATAATACACAAATAATTAAATTGTTTTTGTTATTAATTTTTTTGTTATATTTACTGAGTGCCTTGACCCCCCGAGGCACTCAGTACCGGCAGAGCGTTGAAAGCCTGCCTGATGGGGGGGAGTGATTACCCGGTGATCTCTGGGGGGCCACCATCAGTGATGGGGGTATTGCAGTGATGCCTAAACATCGAGGCATTGCTGCAATACCATTAGAGCTGACGGAAGCCATCATGACCGTTTTTAAGGACCTGATACGTCCGCGGTCACTAAGGGGTTAAAAGACCACTCCATACTTCTAAAGCACCCTAGCTTGCTGAAGTGCTTTATGTGTGAAGAGTGTGTCCTATTTTTAACATTTTACAAAACTTTCTAATTTTATAAATTAACCTTGTTATGCCCACCCACTAAATAGTACATTTTGGGGCCTGCGGTGCACTTCGTATCTGAGAGTCAAATAGAAGCATCAAATAGTGCGCTTACTGCGCAGTGGTAAACATTCTAATTGTTTAGCTGCTAATCTGCTAAATAGTACATTTTGGGGCCTATTCTTCATATCTGAGAGTCAAATCGAAACGTCTAATAGTGTGCTTTTTGCGCACTTGTAAACATTCTAATTGTTTTGCTGCTAATCTGCTAAATAGTACATTTTGTGGCCTGCTCTTCATATCTGAGAGTCAAATCGAAGCGTCTAATAGTGTGCTTACTGCGCACTTGTAAACATTCTAATTGTTTTGCTGCTAATCTGCTGCTTACATTGGAGTTTTAAAAAGTCATTTTTTTTTTTTACGCTAAATAGTATATTTAGGGTGTTCACTTCATATCTGATAGTCAAATCCAAGTGGAACTTTGATTCAAATTTACTACATCGGTCACTTGTAATATTGTTTCACACCTACAAAACTTGTTACACAGATTTAAGTGATAGAAAACAGACTGATATTTTCTACAGTAGAAACTACCAGATAACAAGCTGCTATATTTAAACCAGTGATCAATAGCTAAGAGGTACTTCAACAATATTGTTGAACTTCGGCCTTCCCGCTCACCGCCTTATTAGACTTTGTGAGCAGCAGCAGGCGATAGTGGAGTTTCAGCTACAGCACGCACGGGTCAGTGGCTCTGCACCAGACTTCCCTCCAATTGATCAGAGTTAAAGGATTTCAAGTGGACTTATTACAATTACAGGACCTCTAAAGAGTTCTGTATTGTTATTTGTCATCACTACCTTCCCGTGTCAGGAGTGGGTCATTTGCGCGCCTGCTGCCTTCCTTGCATGTGGTAGCCGTTTCTCAGGGTCCCTGTACAGAATGGAACCCTGATTCCCTGTTACCCGTGGTCACCGTGGTAGGCGCAGAAACTGGCATCGAAAGTTGATATGGATGACATCCGCATGCAAAGTCACTGCCACGGGGATGTGCGATTTGCTCGAGGTTCTCTAGAGTCAACAAAGTTCCTGCGCAACTATAATGTCAACAGATAGTAACAGGAATTAGTAACAGGAATTAGTAACAGGAATCCAGAATCACTGGTATAGCACGCATTTGTTTGGACAAGGATTTTGCAGTTCGACTATTGGTTAAAATAATTTACAGTACAGAGCAGATACAGTGAGGGGGAAAAAAAGTATTTGATCCCCCCACAGATTTTCTATGGGATTAAGGTCTGGTCACTCCAGGACCTTAACGTGCTTCTTCTTGAGCCACTTTGTTGCCTTGGCTACATGTTTGGGGTCATTGTCATGCTGGAATACCCATGCATGACCCATTTTCAATACCTTGGCTGAGGGAAGGAGGTTTTCACCCAAGATTCAACTGTACATGGCCCTGTCCATCATCCCTTTGATGCGGTGCAGTTATCCTGTCCCCTAAGCAGAAAAACACCCCCAAAGCATAATGTTTCCACCTCCATGTTTGACAGTGGGGATGATGTTCTTGGGATCATAGGCAGCATTTCTCCTCTTACAAACACGGCGAGTTGAGTTGATGCCAAAGAGATTGATTTTGGTCTCATCTGACCACAACACTTTTACCCAGTTCTCCTCTGAATCAGGGCCGTCTATAATATTAATAGGACCCTGGGTAAAGAATTACCCCCCCACCCCCTTCCCTGCTATGCAATCACACCTTTTTACATACTTAAATACACAAACATATACACTGACAGACATACTGACACACATATATTCACAGACAGACATACTGACATATTCACAGACACACACAGACATAATGACACACGCACGACAGACATACTGATACACAGACATACAGACATTTAAACTGACAGACATATTGACAGACATTCAGAAATACATATTGACACACACATTGACAGACATACTGACACATACAGATGCATACACTGACAGACATACTGACACACACACATACACTGACAGACATACTGACATACATATTGAAAGACATACTGACACACACACATACACTGACAGACATACTGACACACAGACACATATACAGACAGACATACTGACACACACATACATAATGACATATACATACACACACACACACTGACAGACATGCTGACACAGACATATACTGACAGACATACTGACATACACATACACACTGGCACACAGACACATACACAGAAATACATATTGACACACACATTGACAGACATACTGACACATACAGATGCATACACTGACAGACATACTGACACACACACATACACTGACAGACATACTGACATACACATACACACTGGCACACAGACACATACACAGAAATACATATTGACACACACATTGACAGACATACTGACACATACAGATGCATACACTGACAGACATACTGACACACACACATACACTGACAGACATACTGACATACATATTGAAAGACATACTGACACACACACATACACTGACAGACATACTGACACACAGACACATATACAGACAGACATACTGACACACACATACATAATGACACACACACAGACTTACACTGACAAACAGACACACTGACAGACATGCTGACACACACAAAGACACATACATTGACAAACATACTGACACACACACACACACACAGACATATTGACACACACACTGGCAGACATACTGACACACACAGACAGACATACTGACACACAGGCAGACATACTGATAGACACATGTAAACTTTACACTTTTAAGTCCACCTCCTGTTTTCTACCCTAAAGGGTGGCTTCCCTGGTATCCAGAGTGGTGGCTGAGGCTGTTAAGGGTTGCTGTTGGCAATATTGGCCCAGCCCCCTCCTCTCTGCCTCCCTGGTCTCCTGCATGGCTCCCTCTGGGAAGAAGTGACCCATGGTGTTTAAAATTTGATAGAACAATGGCAGTCACTTCCTCCCTTGCTGCCAAAAAGCAAGGGGGCCTGGTCGTGCCATTAAAGGGCAAGAGTTCAACCAGGCGCCTGCTTACAAATGTCCACTGGGTAGCCCTTAGTGCATGGGCCACTTGGTGGGTCTCCTTAATGTGTGGAGCCACAGGCTGCACCGGGGGCCCATTGGGGGAAATAAGTAGTTGAGGGCAGTGGGGCCCAAGGGGCAGCTGCCTTGGACCCCCAGGAGTAACTGGGCCCTGTTTGCCCCGCAATTAAGACAGACCTCCTCTGAATCATTCAGATGTTCATTGGCAAACTTCAGATGGGCTTGTACATGTGCTTTCTTGAGCAGGGGGACCTTGCGGGCACTGCAGGATTTCAGTCCTTCACAGCGTAGTGTGTTACCAATTGTTTTCATGGTGACTATGGTCCCAGCTGCCTTGAGATCATTAACAAGATCCTACCGTGTAGTTCTGGGCTGATTCCTCACTGTTCTCATGATCAGTGAAACTCCATGAGGTGAGATCTCAACAAGGTGAGGAGCACCAGACCTAGGGTGACTGATAGTTATTTTGTGTTTCTTCCATTTGCGAATAATCGCACCAACTTTTGTAACCTTCTCACCAAGCTGCTTGGTGAAGGTCTTGTAGCCCATATTAACCTTGTGCCGTCTTCAATCTTGCCCCTGACATCCTTGGACGGCTCTTTGGTCTTGGCCATAGTGAAGAGTTTTGGAATCAGATTGATTGATTCCTTCTGTAGACAGGTGTCTTTTATACAGGTAACGAGCTGAGATTAAGAGCACTCCCGAGGAACCAAAAATCTTGATGATTGATAGGGGATCAAATACTTATTTCACTCATTGACATGCAAATCAACTTATAACTTTTTCGAAATGCTTTTTTCTGGATTTTTTTTTTTATAGACTGATCATTTCTTTGTCAGTGGACAAACGTTCAAAATCAGCAGGGGATCAAATACTTTTTGTCTCTCACTGTAGCATTACTGAGTGCAGTATTTGCTATGATGTGATAAAATGCTACAGGCTGAGAAATGGGATTTATAATGTTGGCATTATCTAACTTTTGATGCTATCTGTATTCTGCTATATCATGTTTCCACTGATTATTCATTATGCATGAATGACATAATGAACTTTTATACTTGCTCATATTTCTCAGGAGCTATTTAATAATAGATTTTTATAGCTTTTTGGAAATAACACTAATATATAACAGATAATAATTGAAGTTGTCTGCCATTCAGCTCAATATCCTTCTTTCCATTTCTGAAGATTGCTGTCTCAATGGTTTACATTAAATACTTTACAAAAACTTTTCTCATTCACTTGCCCCTTAAATTTCCCCTTTAAAGTTTATGGAAAGGACACAAAGATCAAAGGATGAATGAGCAAAGAAGTAATTCATCTAAATACCAAAGCAATCTGCTGTTTATGGGAAAATCCAGAAAATTCATAGAAAACTGTCAAAGAGCAAACCTTCATGAATGCAAACATGGATTTGTTCAGCATTATAATTTGCATTTGTGAGGAACGGATTAAGGTGCATTGGGAATTTAACTTCAGTTATGCAGGACATAGCAATAAAACTGAAAAGGAAGAGGCTTTAGAAACATGTCTGATCTTCTGAATGACCTCTGGATATTACCTGCAGGCACTGAACCTAAGTGAACAATGGAAAAAAATCTGAATTATTCAAAAGTATTCTTTTTCTTCATGGATTCTATTAAAGATTATAAATGTTTATTTATATAAAATGTTGTGGCAACTTGGGGGTTTAAGATTTTTTTTTTTTTTTTTTTTTACCAGCATCTATGGCTTATCATTCTTCATAATGGCTTAAAGAAAATGGTCACAGTGGTCAGTACTCTAATAAATTCAAATATATATATATGTATACACAAAAAACAAAATACAGTGCACTTGCTTATTCACTAAACAATAATTTCAAATCTTAGAGATTGTAATAGTTTTATTTTAAAAAAACACCTCACCTAGGCAAAATACAATAGGGGTTTAGATATAATATATGATCATATATGACATAAGCCTGCCACAACGTCAATGTACCCCATTCTTGGCAGGTCCTACTCTAGTAGCCTAATGCTTGCTCTTATGAGATTAATCCTCGTACTTGGGAAATACTTCCTTACTGGGACTCTCTGCAAGTCAAGGCTTAATAGGGTCCTGGAATGAGGCACCTGTGACAGGGAGGTGTGCACAACCAAGGAGTTGGCCTGGACTCCCAAATATATAAATGAAACCAAGAGAGCAAGCATTAGCATTAGGTAATATTAATGAACAGTCAGTTCTTGTATTTCATGTGTTGAAACAGAAAAAAATGGACAACCAAAAAGATTTGAGTAACTTTGACAAGGGCAAAATAGAGTCAGGGCATCTCCAAAACACCAAGTTTTGTGTAGTGTTCCCGGTATGAAGTGGTTAGTAACTGCCAAAAGTGCTGCAAAGAAGGACAATGAGGGAACTGGCGTCAGGGTCATGCTTACCCAAGGTTCATTGATGCACAAGAGGAGCAAAGGCTAGTCCGCCTGGTCCAATCACACAGAAGAGCTACTGTTGCTCAAATTGCTGAAAATCTTAATGCTGGCCATGATAGAAAGGTGTCAGTATGCACAGTGGATCACAGTTTCCTACACATGGGGCTGCATAGCCACAGATCAGTTGGAGTGGCTGTTTAGCCCTGTCCACCACCAAAAGTATGTTCAATGGGGACATAAGCATCAGAACTAGACCATGGAGCAATGGAAGAAGGTTTACTGTTCCGATTAATCACATTTTTTTTTATATCAGGTGAATAGCCGGTAGCGTGTGCATCATTTACCTAAAGTAGAGTTGGCATCAGGATGCACTATAGGAAGAAGGAGAAGGCAGTGTTATGCTTTGGCCAATGTTCTGCTGGGAAATCTTGGATCCTGGCATTCATGTGGGTGTTTCTTTGGCACATACCACCTACCTAGATATTGCTGCAGACCACATAACCCCATTCATGGCAAATTTATTACATGATGGCAGTGGCCTCTTTCAGCAGAGTAATGCACCCTGCCCCACTGAATAAATGTTCAGTAATGGTTTGAGAAACATGACAATGAGTTCAATGTGTTGCTTTGGCCTCCACGTCCCACAGACCTCAATCTGATTGAGCATCTGTGGGATGTGCTGGAACAACAAATCAGTTCCATGGAGGCCCCATCTTGCAACTTTCAAGACTTAAAGGATCTGCTGCTAATGTTTTAGTGCCA